ATGACGAATGGCACGTCTGGCAGACAAAATCCAAACTTGCTGGGAAAGAAGAAACTGTAGTGTCTGAGGACCAGGATGAAGATGAATTTTATGTACTTCTTCAATTAAAAGTTCTGATAAACGATGAACTCGAGGAAGAAGTACAGGATGCTTTTGATCATAAGACAATGAAGAATGAGCAAGTCGACCACCTACTCTGATAATACCATTTTTGTCAATAAACACATTAAGTTTTCGAAGTGGTTTACTGACAAGGTGTCCCTTTTCAAGTTTGGCAATATCGTCGGAAAACGATACATGTTGAACACGCTTTATCAAAAGAAGAAATGCATTATGTATCTCATGTATAGTTAGAGGACCAAATAATTTGGAATCACAAAATCGAACATTATTTATAAAACGAAGGCAATAGGCAATGATGCGTTTAATTATTGCGAGAGAGGAATATTTTTCTAGAAGTAAGTCTAAAGCATCAAGAGAAACGAACGAAGAAAGAACGACCCTTTTTTCTTCTTCCAAGGAAGCTGGATTATTTTCATAAGATGAAACTGGCCACGTGTCTTTTGGTGACTTCAGCCATGAAGGCCCCGCCCACCATTGAACATTGTTAATAAGTTCTCCTGGAAAAAGTCCTCGTGAAGCGATATCAGCTGGATTATCTGTAGAACTAACGTGATACCAACAATTGGGAGAAACTTTCAATTGAATACGACTTACTCGGTTGGCAACAAAAGTTTTCCATCGATGTGGAGAAGACTTTATCCAGGATAACACAATAGTAGAATCAGACCAGGCATAAGCATTTTGAAAATATAATTTTTCTGAATAAATATTAAGAATAAATGAAATCATATCAGCGAGCAACATTGCTGCGCAGAGCTCTAAGCGTGGAATTGAAAGTTTTTTCAAAGGAGCTACTTTGGACTTGGCATAAACAAAGGAAACGTGAGGAATTTCATAAGGGCTAGAAAATAAGAAGTATATGACAGCTGCATAGCCCTTTTCCGAACTATCAGCGAATCCATGTAATTCACAGTTTTGAAAAGATTTTGGAACTATGCATCTAGGAATTTTGAGAGTTGATAAAGAAGCTAATTGAGCTTGATATTTTTGCCAACTATTGACAACATCGTTTGGAGGGGTCTCGTCCCAACCTAAACCTAAACTCCAAAGGTGTTGCATCAGACGTTTTGCAAAGAATGTTAGGGGAGTTAAGAACCCAAGAGGATCAAAAATCTTTGCCAGATCAGAAAGTATGAATCTTTTAGTACAGGCCCTATCGATTTGAGAAACAGAATAAGAGAAATAATCATGTGAGGGAAACCATTTTAGACCCAAAATTTTCACTACAGAATTTTCATCATCAAAAGATAAGGATTGTTGAGCATGATAAGACATGGGAATGTCAGATAGAAGGCTGGGGTGATTACTACTCCATTTTCTTAATTGGAATTGACCTCGTTCGAGTAGCTTGATAAGGTCTTGTTGAAGAAGTTTAGCGTTTTCTATTGTGTCACAACCAGTGACGATATCATCCATGTAAATATCAGAAGAAAGTACCTTAGCAGCGAGGGGAAAGTGTTGAATTTCATCATTACCAAGTTGAATCAAAGTGCGGAGGGCTAAATACGGAGCAGACGATACACCGTAAGTAACAGTTTTCAAACGAAACTGCTGTAAAGGCTCAGAAGGCGAAAATCTCCAGATAATTCTCTGATAGTCCCTATGATCTGGTCGTACCCAAATTTGTCGATACATTTGTTTTATATCGGCCGTAAATACAATCTTATGTAATCTGAAATTTAGAAGAATAGAAACGATATCCTTTTGTAACTTTGGACCAATTAGTAAACAATCATTCAAAGAGATATTATCTGAAGTTCTACAAGATGCATCGAATACTACTCTTAATTTAGTTGTAGTACTATCCGGTTTAAAAACGCAGTGATGAGGAATGTAATATAATTTGTAGGGATTTTCCGGGAGATTAAACACCTTTTCCATATGATTGCTATGCAAATAATCTCTCATAAATTCAGAATATGCTTCATATAAGGACGGATCACGAAGTAGACGACGTTCTAATGAATAAAATCGGCGAAGTGCAATGGAGTATGAATCAACGAATACCGGATCAGAATTTTTGAATGGTAAAGCCACTGTATATCTACCAGATATATCACGAGCATAATTTGAGATGAAATGCTGTTCACATAATAAATCTTCAGGAGATGCCTGGACCATTTGAGGTATTTCATCAAGTTCCCAAAATTTTTTAAGAATGGTGTCCAATGAAAAATCAGTAGATGCAAAAAATGACCACACTGAATTAACAGTAGAACATTTTACCTTGCCCATAATAATCCAACCAAATATAGTTTTAAAGGCAGAAGGTTCATTATGATTACCATTGATGCGACCATCCTCTAATATTTGGGAAAATATGTCAACGCCCAAGAGCATATCGATATTACCGGGGATATTGAAACTCGGATCTGCTAGATCTATGTTATGAAGATGTTTCCACTTTTCCACAGCAATCGGGACGTTTGGCATGTCGAAGCAAATTTTAGGTATTACTAAAGCATCAACGTTAAATACCGGAGAAACTTGACCACGAGGTCGAATTTGACATTCAACTGACCTTGAAGCTGATGAAGACATTTGTCCTAGACCGAAAATAGCGTGAGATATTGTTTTTGTATTTAACCCAAGACGATTGGCACAAGTTTGTGTAATAAAGTTTGCTTGACTTCCTCCGTCAAGCAGAACACGAACCTTTTGATAAAATCCTCGAGAATCTAATATTTCAACAATAGCTGTTGGAAGTAGATTAGTAGTATTACTGGAAGCGACAAGACTAGTAAGGGAATTAACTTGCTCTGAATGAGAAGGACTATTAACAGAAATATGATTTGTTGAATCCACATCAAGTGTATTAGAAGTAATCACTTGAGGCTGTAGGGACGAAGATCGTTCACGTGGAAAATGTAGTAAAGTATGATGTCGAGATTTACAAACACGACAGGAAAATTGTGAACGGCAGTTATTTGCACTGTGCGTTGAATGAAGGCAATTTCTGCACCAATTTTTTTCTTTTGCGACTTGAAATCTCTCTTGTGGAGATTTCGAAATAAATGAAGGACATTTTAGGAGAGAATGGGTAGAGCCACAAAAGGAGCAAATAATATTGGAAGAATTAGCATCTTTATTTGTAATCAAAAATGAAGAGCTAGGTTTATTACGAGAGGTCATTGATTTTTGTGAAGAGTGCGTATTAGAATTAGAAATACATTTTTGAGAAGACAAAGCCACTGATTCAAGAGCTGTGCACTGTTTCAATAAAAAGTCATATAAAATTTTGTAAGATGGAATATTATTACAATTTTCTTGTAATTCAAAACGTTTAACTGAAGCAGCATCTAATTTTTGTATTAATAACTGAAATAATATAAAGTCCCAACTATCTACAGGCAAATTTAAATTTTTAAGTGATGCTAAGTTTTCTTGAAAAGTGTCTAATAATTTTCTAAGAGCTTGAGGAGATTCAGAGTTTAATTTAGGTGCATTAAATATTTCTTGCCAACATGCATTCGCAAGAATTCTTTTATTCTGGTAACGATCTGTTAACATATTATATGCAATTATATAATTATCATTAGATAACTGTATGGATTTTACCAGACCCAGAGGTTCTCGTTTTAGAGCCGAAAGTAGGTATTGAAACTTTTCTATATTAGAAAGAGACTCGTTATTATGAATAAGAGAAGAATACAAATCAATGAAATTCGGCCAATCTTTGTAATTCCCGTCGAATGCTGGCAACGTAATTTTTGGCAATTTAATATTTGAAAAAGAACGATTATTCAAAGATACTGCATTTGGTTGAGTATCTTCAAATAAATCATGAAAAGTTGTCTTAATTGAATAGTACATTTTCATAAAAGTTTTTCTAACTTCTTTATCTGGAGCCAAATCAGCATTTTCAGTAACGGACAGAGCAGCAATTATAGAAGCGTGATGGCGTTCAAACTCTTCATAGATCTTCTCTATATCATTATATTGAATTTTAAATGAAGGAAGTGAATTACTGTCATCGATAGCTGTCTGTGCTAAATCGTATAATTCAGTCAACTGATCTATAGAGAGTTCACGTATAGCACGCGTTTGTTTGATTTTATTAGACATATTAAATGTAAAGTACAAATGCAACTAATTATTATAAATGGAAAAATGTAATAATTATAAATGAATTCAATACAATTTCAGTTGGAACGAGTTTAAATTGTAATATAAATTGTACACCAGCCACCCGGTATAAATGAAATAGAAGATAACAAAGGAATGTGGTAGGCCGCAAAAAGTTTATGATATACTTTAGGAATAAAAATGGACTTAAAATGTAAATGAATAGTTTTGTTTAATGATTAAATTGTTAAACAATTTGTCACAACAACAATAATGAAGTAGTTTTGAATAAAATAAATGTTTTAATCCGGAATCGAAGGTACCATGTTATAACGCCACGGTTATTCAAAGTGGTGGACTGTATGAATAAAGAAATAAAATGGTTGGAGATGGCTTACCTCCTTTGAAACTCCTATGTTCTTGAAGGGTCCTTCTGATGTCTTGAAAATGTTGATTCGGCTGTCTATTTATTATTATGGAGTTGGAAATCACACGCACTTGTTACTATGTCGAGTCTCACTTGTTCAAACTCCATAATAATAAATAGACAGACAAATCAACATTTTCAAGACATCAGAAGGGCCCTTCAAGAACATAGGAGTTTCAAAGGAGGTAAGCCATCTCCAACAAAAAACAGTACGTAAAAATAAGAAGGATTTTCGTATTTGAGTGAATAAACTCGAAACAAACATATTGTTGCAACAAATGAAAAAGAATAGAAAATTTATTTTATATATTTTAAAAATGAATTGTAATTACAATAACACCCTTTTGCGGTGAAGCCGCAACATTATGGCGACAAGAAAACTTACCTTAGCTATTTGAAATGCTCCTACTGTAAATGTTTCCCCTCCGCTGTAGTTTATGTTTTTTAATTGCCTATTTAATAATAGACATTTAGTCTCCTCCTTTGATGACTGACTTATTTCATCCACATTTTTTATCTGAAAATTGTAAATCAAATGTCAATTTTATAGAAATTCAATGTTTCAAATATTTGTTATTGTAAACTTGATCAAAATTGATTTACGTGTGACGTTTACTGAACGAGTAACGTGCAGTTGAAATAATACATGCATAAACAGTACTGCTGTATTAATTAGATAAGTGATCTTTTCTGTTTTATTTTGAAATGTTAAACACGGTCTCACATGCGCCATATGATTTTTGCTTATAACTTGGAAACGACTGAAAATATTGTCCGAAAACAATTTACAGTTTAATATTTCATTGACCTAAAGGCGTCAAACAACCTTCTCTAAAGGCCCGGTGGTGCTGATATTAGTGGTGATGATAGTGATGGCAAGGATAACGAAAATGACGACGTAGATGACGACGATGATGCGGATGACTATGAGGACGATGACGACGAGGATGACGACAATGATAGCGATGATGAGGATGGGCAATGAGGATGAGGATAAGGATGATACGTGTTCCCATTGCGGTTTCTTGATGATGATGATAATAATGATAATATTATTGTATTATTACCATTACCATTACTATTACTACTACTATTACTATTAATATTATTATTATGACTTTCAATTGAAATATATTCTTGATTATATTTGATGACAAAACCCTGAAATCGGAGATTGTAGCTCACCGACCAGCCTAGCACTCCAGTTTCAAATCTTAATATGCCAGCGAATAAATTTTCATTACCCACTATAAACATCTGCTCAAGCCGTGAAAGAAAATTTTAAAAAATTCTTCTGCTGTACCCGGTGGTTTACTGACAATAGTTTTAAAGAAATGTGCTGCACCTTCGTGCCATCCACTGTCCATGTCCATTATAATGCAAAATTCTTAAAAATTTGCTACCTTACCAAGTGCTTGAAAATCAGCTGGTGAATAGCAATATTAATAAAAAGAGACAAATTGATTAACAAAAACTATCGACAGATTAATCTTACTCTTCTTGAAGTGAAAGTTATGGAAAGAATTATTGAAACTGTAACCGAACTGTTGTTTTGTCACAAAATTAGTCCTGAAAAGCAGCATGGATTTCTCCCTGGGAGATCAACAACCAATTTGCTGCAATTTTTAAACGATTGGACCATCACAATTGATAGTGGTCAGTGTGTTGACGTTATATACCTTGATTTTAGCAAGGCTTTTGATAAAGTGCCATTAAACATTTCAGTTCTAAAATTGAACATGTAGGTATTAGAAGTTATTTCCACAAATGGAATGTATTTTTAAGCCATCGTTTTTTCCGTGTGATAATAGCAACTGACATCTCAGAATACTATTCTGTTAAAAGTCGACTTCCTTAAGGCTCAGTAGTTGCCCATTAATCTTTCTTATACAGGGTGTTCCACCTAAGAGAGATTTTTCTGTAACTCTGTAACTGTAAAATTTATAAAAAAATGATTTTAATAAAAAATTGTTTTGAATCATGTGGGCCATGTAAAAAATATATTTTTAGCTTTACAGGGTGTTCCATTTCGCGTGGGCGCTACATAACTTTGTTATTTTAAATAGAACACCCTGTATATTATTGCATTTTTGAATTCCTTGTTTAATATTAGCTAGAGTTTATTATATACACATGGTGTTTAAAACTTACCGTTTTCGAGATATTCAGTTGTTTTTGAAAAAAAATCACGATTTCAAATGAGGCTAGATAGCATCTAAATCATAAGAGTTATAAACCTGCAGTTTTCATAGTTCATTTTGACACAAATTACTTTATTTTGTAATTTTTGAGTAAAACGTGTACGTTACTCAGACTCGGAAATACTGAGACCTACATTTAATAATCTTATGAGTTGAAAAACTTTGTTTTTTCAAATGGAATGACTCATATTCATTGTCATGGGTGAATACAAAATTGAATGCCCTTTCGACTGATATAAGGTTGTCCGTACTTATCTCTAACAGTTTTCCAGAAAAATCTGGTCCTTTTCAAACAATTTTTAGTGCAGTTTGACATACAAAGCAAACTACATGTCACTCTAGTTTTTTATTAATGATTACGTTGTAGTTATTTTGCTAAGTAGACAGTAGGTAAAAGTTTATTATAATATTTTCAAAATGTCGCTGACGTAGGAAGAAATAGTTTGATAGGTATGGTTTTTGTCCTGTGCGACAGATCGCACCAAGAATTACTACATGTAGACTTTCAGCGGAGACTGGAGTTTTGTCAGTGGGCACTTGAGATGTTAAATCAAGATGATGATTTTTTTAAACGGGTCTTGTTCTCTGATGCGGCTACTATTCATAAAATTGGTTTTGTTATTCGCCATAATTGTAATTATTATGACACAGTAAATCGTCACCAATTCCGGACAACTCATAGCCAACACAGATGGTCTTTAAACGTGTGGGGAGTAATTGTGGGGATCCATGTCATTAAACCATTCTTTGACCAGCATCAAACTGGAGCAGTTTATACTTTTATATGTTTGTATGTTTATACTATACTTTTTAACAAACATTGTAGAAGATTTGTTAGGCGACACTTCGAAGCATGTGGATGCAGCATGATGGTGCTCCACCTTACAATGCCGCTGCGGTTTGTCAGTTTTTACATGAACTTTTACCAACATATGACCAATGTTGGACGGTCTTTTAAAAACAGAATTCGTTTGTGTATTAATGGAGGACACTTCGAGCAATGGATGTATAAGTATTCTTCTCCTTGTTATGTTCCGAGTTTCAGTTTGTTTCGTTTTGCGTTTTGTTTTAGTTGTTGTTAGTGGTTTACTTTTGTTTGTCAAACCACTTTTTAAACATGCCAGTAAATATTGACACTGTCAGTCCCAACCCTGATAAAATGTGAGGGAAAAGTAGATTTGCAAGACCTTCTTGACGCTGCTACATAATAGTCCAAGCGGTATCTGTTTTAAAAAGGGTAGACTTGGGTAAAACGAATATGCTCGGAGATTTTTGCTTTAACGGCTTCTAAACAACATAAGAAATGATAATTTTTCTATGCAAATAAAAAAAACCGTGTGCTTAATTGTTATTGCAAAAAGTATAAAAAATAACAAAAAAATTCATTTTTTTCTTGGATTTCTCGTCGACAACTTAGCAACTATTCATTTTAGACAAAAATGGAAGAGGAAAAAAAGTTTTGTAATTAAATTTTGAACAAGATAGAGTTAGTTGCAATTCAAAAAAATAATTATTGTTATTGCAAAAATCGGAAAAAATCATTTAAAAAATTGCAAAAAATGCTAGTTTATTTGTCAGTTTTCTTCAGACACTTGAATAATACCTAGGATCTTCATACATTTCCGAATTAAACATTTTAGTGCATAGAATCATCACACCAAATTTCATCTAATTCGGTTCGATAATTTTTACATAATAATTGTTTAAATTTTTTATTTTTTTTTAATTAAAAAATTTTCAAAATCAAATTTCTAAAAATCTAAAGCCTTTGAATACTTGAAAATTTCATCACAAAAAGAAGAGCTCTCAAGCTTAAAAATGTTTTTTGAAAGATTAAAATCGGACGATTAGGTGAGCCGTGGTGATTGTTTAAACATTTTCACAAAACGCTTATAAACAATTGCAATAATTTAATGTTTTTTTCCAATTTTTTTTATTTTAAAATATGGTTTGAAAGTACTCGGAAAGACGAGTATTAAAAAAAAATTATGATCCGCCCATTATTTTCGGAATTAAAGTTAATCCTAATTTACAGCAAAACTATAAGGGTATAAGGGCTGTTTTTTGAACTAATAGGTTTGTCATTCCGAGTACTTTCCAGATATAAATTTTCAAAATTTGCAATCACGGGCGTCCTATTTAAAATGTCACCCAAAGATATTCAAGACCGCGTGAAATCCATGAGGTATCAGTGGTGGGGGGAGCAAACACATAGCTACTCCGATCTGAATTATCGAGTTCAAAACTGCGACGCTCGGAAAAATTTCAATTATTTCAGCTTCTAATGGACCAATTTCGATTATTCTTTTTTTAAATCGCTGTCTCGCAACTTAAAAAATTCAATTATCATATGTTCAACTACCTTTTATTATTAATTATTGGACTTGCAATTGCGAAAATGTTTAAACAATCACCACGGCTCACCTAAGCGTCCGATTTGAATTTTTCAAAAACCATTTTAAAGCTTGAGAGCTCTTCTTTTTGTGGTGAAATTTTCAAGTATTCAAAGGCTTTAGATTTTTAGAAATTTGATTTTGAAAATTTTTTAATTTAAAAAAAAATAGAAAATTTAAACAATTATTATGTAAAAATTATCTAACCGAATTGGATGAAATTTGGTGTGATGATTCTATGCACTAAGAAGTTTAATTGGGAAAAGTATGAAGATCCTAGGTATTATTCAAGTGTCTGAAAAAAATTGACAAATAAACTAGCATTTTTTGCAATTTTTTAAATGATTTTTCCGATTTTTGCAATAACAATAATTATTTTTTCGAATTGCAACTAACTCTATCTTGATCAAAATTTAATTACAAAACTTTTTTTCCTCTTCCATTTTTGTCTAAAATGAATAGTTGCTAAGTTGTCGACGAGAAATCCAAGAAGAAAATGAATTTTTTTGCTATTTTTTTAAACTTTTTTGCAATAACAATTAAGCCCACGTTTTTTTTATTTGCATAGAAATATTATGATTTCTGATGTTGTTTAGAAGCCGTTAAAGCAAAAATCTCCAATCATATGCGTTTTACCCAACCCGAAACAGATACCGCCTGGACTATAACTACTTTTTCGGAGTTTAGAAAAGAACCTGATTTTTTTGAAAATCTATTAGAGGTAAGTATGGACTACCTTATATCAGTCGAAAGGGCATTTAGTTTTGCATTCACCTATGACAATTAATATGGGTCATTCCATTTGAAATGAAAAGTTTTTCAACTCGTAAAACTGCAGGTTTCTAACTCTTACGGTTTAGATGCTATCTAGGTTGAAAAAATGCCAAAAATGAATAATTTGAATATTACCAATTGATATAAAA